TGGGGCAAATGGGGGTATTTAACTGGGAAGGGAGGAGAAAGGGTTATACAAAGAATCATGGGGGTAAAGGGGAAGAATGAGCTCAAAGAAGGGGTTAGCAGTATTATCAAGGGAAAATGAGGGTACTTTAACTGAGGAGGGAAGAGGGCAGGTTAGAAAGAGAGAGAGAGGAGAGATAAATAACACTTACGTGGTGTGAAAAACCAGAGGGAAATTATTAGTTCAAAAGCCTGCTGAAAAACACACATACAGTATGTGTTCATGAGTGCATGTGTACCCGAAGGCTACATAGCAAGGTGCATGGTGCCAGACAGGAGAAACCTCCCTTCGAGTTGTTGGTTGGCATAGTCCAAAAGACTCTCAAAACAACACAGACTATTGCCATGGCCCTTGATTTCCTCCAAAAACTTAAAGGTAAGACCCTATTCACGAAGACAGGACATACTTTGGATATAGGACTTAGAGCAATGGAGCAGAAATCGCCTGGAAGCCCCTTCCTGAAGATTAGCTCTCGTAGTTTTGGAGGACACTATGCAAGGTGCTAAGGAAGAAAATCAACCAATGGTCCTACCCCAGCATTAAAACCTAATAATCACAACAATGACCGGCACAGCAAACTATATTTCAGTACCGGCACTTTTATCTAGGGGGCAATCAACAGCTCTCTAACTGGACTTAAAGCCCACTCGGTGGGAGGGATCTATGTATGGCACTGTAAACATACACAAATACACGTGGCTGGAGAGGTCACACAGATCCTAGAGCAAACTCTATGTCTGTTACAGTCCCAGACAAAGGTAATTACTTACTATATGCTAAATATGGATCCTTATATTTAAAGACAAGTATACCATTCACCACCACTCATCAAAGAAGTTTCTTTTTGCAACAGACAGAGATTATTACAGAGTTCTGCAACTGGTCAAACACAGAGAATAAGTGTCTGTGAGATGTCCTGCCCGTAGTGACATATCTACAATGGAACTTGTATATCTAAGGCTCATGGAACATAGTGAAACAAGGGGATAAGGAGAATACTAATACATCTCTCAACTCTGACCAGTGAAGTTTCTTCATTCAGCAGAGGGTAATTAACACGAAAGGCCACAACTAGCCAAAGTGTAGAGAGTAAGAGACTGCACAGTGTGTGTCACTGGATAGGACACTTATATTAAACCTCACCCACTCAAGGGTCAGGGACCATTGCAGAAGAGGGGGCAAAAAGATTTTAAGAGCCAGGGGTGGTACATGATCAGAAGGAAATGGTCGTCCAGGCTTCTGTGCACTTGCACATATGAACTTACAGCAATGGTGACAGCATGCACAAGACCCATGCAAAGTCAGGCAAAAACCCAGCGCAGAACTGGGGAAATGGGCAGAAGTCCCCAAACTTAGCCAAGGAACTACTGACAGCGGATCACTGTTGGCTGAGGGAGAGTTATTTGTCTTTAAGGGAACGATGTTAGATAGGCTGAACAGGCTCCAGTGGATGAACTTATACCAAGGAACATCCGGGTACACAAACTTGACTCACTAGGCCTGAACATATATGACAGAATGCACGAAATCCAGTGGTTGGGCCATGGGGAAGGTGCACAGAGGGGAGGGGGGACCTAAATATGAGTAAGATGTATTTTATGAAATGCACAAAAAATTCAATAAGAATATATATTGAAAGGCTGGGTGTTGAAAAATATATATTGAAGGGCTGTTCTTGCAAAGGACTTGATTCCTAGCACCCATGGCTGTCAACAATCATCTGACATAACTCCAATTCCAGGGGACTCTGTGCCCTCTTCCTACCTCCTAAGGAACTTCATGACAATACAGTAAGCAATACAATACAATACATGCAGGCAATGCAATCATACATATAACATTTTTTTTTAAAAGAAGAGGGCCAGGAAAACAAAAAGTCACAAATGGCCAAAACATAGAGAGTAAGAGTCTACAGAGTTTGAGTCTGTGTACAGGACTCATATTAAAATCCACCCACTCAGGGCTTAGGGACCATTGTGGAAGATGGGATGGAAACACTGTAAGAGCCAGGGAGGAGGAGCATGACCATATGGAAACAGAGTCCTACAGGCTCCTGGGACCTTGCTCATATGAACCTACAGCAATGGTGTCAGCATGCACAAGACCCATGCAAACTTAAACAGACAAAAACACAACACAGAACTGTGGAAATGGATAGCAGGCCCCAATTTTAGTCAAAAATTATTGGCAGCTGATTACTGCTGGGTGAGGATGAGCGGATCTTCTTAAAGGGAGGGACTCTAGATAGGCTGACTAGACCTCGGTGTACAAACTTACACTGAGGGACATCTGGGCACACTAACTTGACATGATAGGCTTTAACCCAAATAACAGAATGTATGAATACAAGCGGGGGGCTATGGGAGGGGACCATTGGGGATGGGGGTATAAAGATGATTAAGATGTTCTGTATGAAATACACAAAGATTCAATAAATTTTTTTTTAAAAAAGGACAACTCCTAGTTTCCCATTCTGTCTGTATTAGTTTTCTATGGTTGTTACCAATTACTACACCACTAGTTTGCCAGCTTACCACAAATTTATTGTTGTACACTTCTGTAAGATCAGAATTCCAACATCTGTCACACTGGGCTAAAATCAAGGTGTTAAGTTTTTCTTTCTCTACACACACTAGAGGAGCATCCGTTTCTTCACCTTTGCCATTGCCGAGGCCACCTGCATTTCTTGAATCCTGGCACCTTCCTCCACAAAGCCAGCATGGGTATATTTTTTAAATGAGGCATACTTTCTTTATATTCATACAGAAGACCAGTCACCACACATCTACCTATAGATCTACATGCTTCAGTAGCATACTGTCCTAGGCACAGACTATGCCATTCACCGACCATCCCAGGATCATGCATTTCTTCAGGCAACAGAAATGCAAATTAAAATAACAAAACACATTTATTACTTTTTGTTAATTTTTATTATTTATTTTTATGTGTCATACTTCGTGTGTGTGGGTGTGTGTATGCTGGTGTCATACAGTGCCTGCGGAGGACAGAAGAGAGTGTCAGATTCCCTGTTTTTTAAAATTTTATTTATTTATTTAAATGTGTATGAGTGTTATGCCTGTGAATGTGTGCACACAGTGCCAGAGGACAGAAGAGGGCGTTGGATCCCCTGGAACTGGAGTTATGGACAGTTGTTAGCCACCCTGTGGGTGCTGGGAATCAAGCCTCAGTCTTCTGCAAGAGGAGTCAGTGCTCTTAGCCACTGAAGTATCTCTCTAGTCCCTGTTGCTGTTTTGAGACAAGGTTTCACTGTGTAGGTAGACCAGGCTGGCCTCCAGCTTTGACATCTGCCTGCCCCTGCCTCCAGAGAACTGGGGTTAAGAGCATGGGCCACCACACTGTGCCTTCATTACATGACTTTCACTAAATTTTGCTATAGCAGGTATTAAGTTGTCATTTTCTGTTTTGTTTTTTGTTTTTCTTTTAGTTTTGTTTTTTATAGACAAAGCTAGCCTCAAATTCAAGGCAATCTTCCTGACTCAGTCTTCCAAGTATAAAAGATTGCTCAAAGATTGTATTTAAGTGTTTTCGAGTCTTTTTTTTTTTTTTTTTTTTTTTTTTTTTTTTTGTCTTTTTGAGACATGGTCTCCCTGTAGCCCTAGCTGGCCTTGAACTCAAGAGATCCACCTGCCTGGGATTAAGGACAAGAGCCACCATAGGTTTTCGTTTTTTAAAAAAAATGGATATTGAAGGATTTAAGAAAATGCTGGATAGAGTGTGGTAATTCCATCACTTGAAAGGTGGAGGTTGGAGGATCAGGAATTCAAGGTCATGGTCAGCTATAAAGCAATTCAAGGCCAGTCACGGATACTGCTTGTCTCGAAAATAACACGGAAGAAACAAAACAAAAGAAAAAAAAAGAAAAATACTTATTAGCAGACTACACACTTAAGGGAGCAGGATTTCAGGTAACTTCTTTCATTCTCTGTATTTTCCCAGTTTCCGTGAATGAAAACGTGTTTTTCTCAGAAAGAAAAAGAAGAGCAACTTGGATTATATTATATTGTCTGAAAGGGCAAGGTCTGACTCAGATTCTGGTTTTCCAAGTCTCAGGCACGTAAATGACAAAGGTCTCTTTAACACTTCCATCCAAAGTGTGCTGGGTCACTCTCATAGTGTTTTGAAAGCCTTAAAGATGTGGACACAAACTCTCCTAAACAAGTCCTGACTGACTCGCTACCTTTTTTCTCCCCATGGCTTGTTTTAAACTCCCAGGCCTCCTCAAAGACCAGAATTTGTACCCTCTCCTCAGCAACCGCGGTGCCCCAGCACCGACTAGAACACCTCGCCGGCGCTGGCTAGCCTCCCAGGCCAGGTCTGCCATGGGGCCTGGGGAGGAAGGGACTCTGGGTACCCTGCCTAGGCCAAGCAGGCGCCACGCTGGCCCGGCCGCGCCCGCAGCCCCAAGCCCGGGTTCGGGGGGCGCCGGCGGAGCCCGGGCCCCCGAGGGCGGCGGCGGGGCGGGGTGGGGGAGGGGCGGCAGTGGGGCTGCTGTGGCGACCGACGCGAGGCGGTGGCTGAGACCCATCCCCGTCCACATGGACAGTGGCCGAGGCCTCGGCTGAAGCGCTGACGCCAGGGCGAAGTGGGTGGTCGGCGGCCGGCCGCCGCGGCGGCGACTGCACAAGCGGCGAGGGGTCGCGGACGCCTGACGGTCGCGGAGCCCTCGCCGAGGCGCAACGGTGCGGCCATTTTACGGCCTGGGACGCAGGAGGCGTGTGCGCGCTCGGTTCGCTCTCCCTCCCCGGGGCCCGAGGCGGACCGAAGCTTCTCGGCGACCGCCGTGGGCGGTGGATGGGGAGTCGTGGGCTGTGGGGAACCCGGCCCGGGAAGCTCCGCCGCCGCCGCTCGCGTTTCCCGGGAGTCATCTTAGAAGCCCAGGCCGTGGGCCTAGTCACCGCCGCCGCTCGCGTTTTCCTCGAGGCGCCTGAGTGAAAAGCCCAGGCTGTGGGCCTGGCTGCCGTTGCCGCCGCTCGCGCTGCCAGAGAGATCTGAAGAGGCGCCCAGGCCGCGGGGCCTCGCCGCCGCCCGCTGGCCCACGACCGGCGCGCCAACCTGCTTTGTGTGGACCCGGCCGGCGGGGAGCGCCGCCCGCGACCCGCGGAGCCTGAGGCCCGCCACCCTGCGGCTGCTTCTCTCCCGCGGCGCGACCCGGGATCCCCGCGAGCACCGCGGCGGTGCGGGCCATGGAGTGAGGAGGCGGCGTGGGAGGAGGAAGATGGCGGCGGGCAAGAGCGGCGGCAGCGCCGGGGAGATTACTTTTCTGGAAGGTACGTCTGTGTCTGCTCTCAGGGGCGGGTTGGGGACTCTGGCGAAAGCGGAGTCCCGGGAGCCGTGGTACTCCGCCCCGGGCCGGGGTGGGCTTGGGGCGCAAGGCTACGGTGAGACGTGGCGGTCGGGACCGCGCTGCGGGTATGAGGCATTCGGGGGCCGCGGCGAGGGCTCGGCCGTCTGGCGGGAGGCGGCAGGTAGATGCGCGGCCGGTGGAGGCCGCGGGCGCCTGCGAGGGGCAGGCACAAGGCTTGGGCCTTTTTCCTCTGTGCTTTTGATGGCCGCCCAGGGGTGAGCGCAGACCGCATTCAGGTCTTGCTGGGCCTTCAGGGGAAGTTTCGGATTGCCGGGTCGGGGCGATGGCCGAGCTCTGGGGATTGCCGGGTCGGGCCGGGAGCCGGCGGGCAGAGCTGCTTTTCCTTCCTTCTCACCCTCCGGCTGGCGGGGCCCTCGGCGTGCACTGTGGGCCCGGCCGGCACGGACTCCTCACCCGTGTGTTCTGTCAAACCGTACTTTGTAAAACAATTTCTGTGAAAGAAGAGAGTGGGCCTCGCCGGGAGGCTCAGTTTGGAGGCAGCTAAAAGAGTTAGGGTGTTTCATCTTGCACTCGCTGGTGAGGGAAAGTTTAGTATCCACAGTTGCTGGCCAAGCCGGGCAGAGCTGGGTCTGGTGGGGGACGGCGAGGTGGGCTTTGCCGGTGTGTCCGAGGACCTCCGCTCCACAGCTATGAGAACTGCGGTGGTGGACCAGGCACTTGGGCTCATAGGACTCTGTTTAATTTTACTGTAATTGAGTTTATTAATATGTTTGGGAAAATGAGTCTGCTCTTCAGTATGGGTTAAAGTTTTTTTCTCAGGTACTGTATGTCCAAGCCATGCTTTAAAAAAACAATTTAGAAACATTACTGAATTAAGAAAATATAATTTAAAAGCTGGGCGTGATGGTGCACGCCCTTAATCCCATCACTCGGGAGACCCTGTGTCAAAAAGACCAAAAAAAAAATATATATATATATAATTAAAAAGTAAAACTTAACCTTCACGTTAACAAGTTTCATGGAGGGTGTTGAGGGGTGGTTATGTTTCGTTAACTACCCCACAAACACCAGAGTAGGTGCTCCACAGTGAATGGAGACTAGGTGAGGGGAGGAGGGTTAACCTCATTCTTCCTACTTGAGAATAGGGAAGTGGACAGGCCTCCAGACTTAATATAAAAGTGATGAGAGTTTTCTGTGAGAGTCCTAACAAGATAAAGAAAGATAGTTCTTCTGAGTTCATTTCATGCTCCTTCCGTACTAGTTTGACCACAGTAGTAACTGCCAGAAGGCTGAGAGAGGAGCTGTTTGTGTTACAGGTACTTTTTGGTTTGGAAGTTAGATGCTCTTATTCATTGGGCACTTTATGCCTTTAAGCTGCTGTAAATGTTGGACTTATCTAGGCTTTTCATTCAGTTTAAATTCTGATTGGATGAACGCAGGAATGATAAAACAGCCACCCTGAACAGACTTGATGTGAATGTCAAACCACTGCTTTTAGTTTTCTCACTTAAGTGAATGTACAGGTGTGACAAGTTTGTTTGACCTTGTCTCATTCAATAATTTTCGTTTTGTTTTCTTTTGTTTTGTTTGAGACAGGGTCTCATACCCAGCCCTTGCTTGCCTGGAGCTCACCAAATAGACCTAGCTAGCCTAGAAGTCTGAGGTCTGCCTGCCTCTGCCTCCCAGGTGCTGGGATTAAAGGTGTGCCACCATTCCCAGTACTAATTTTGGTGTTTTGGAGACAGAGTCACATTATATAGACTGGGCTGGCCTTGGACTTCTGGAAGTCCTGCCTCAGTCTCCCAAGTGCTAGGATTACAGCTGTGAGGGTTTTTAAGATTTGATATGTAAAAATTTATATATTGTACTTTGATTTTCTCCAGTAGTGTTTTCTAAAAACCAAAGTAGGTTTTCCTTAACTCACCAACCATTTATGGCAGCCTACTCTGCTTGGCTGGAATAAAACAGTGCATAAAATAGTCAAGGCCACTACCTTCATAGAATTTTTATTTTAGTGGGAGAGACTGTCAATAAATAAGTTTAAAAAATCCGTTTAGAACAGTCTAACTCTAAATTTTCATACAGCTGTCTTTGAGGTCTCCTCAAACCTGATAGCCTGCTAAGAGCGCTCATGCATTTGATTGTAAACATGGGATCACTGCTTCTGTTTCATTGTATCATCAACTTACCAAGTGATCATTCCTCTGTTTTCCACCCTGCTGAAATATGAGCTCTGCAAAAGCATTGAGCTTGTTTCTTTACTATTGTAGTTCTTTTTTTTTAAAAAAAAAAAAACTTTATTATTTTTATTTTATGTGTATAAGTGTTTGCCTGCATGCATGCAACTGCACCTGTGTTGTGCAGTGACCACGGAGGTCAGAAGAGGGTGTCAGATTCCCCTGGAACTGGAGTTATGGGTGATTGTTAGCCACCATGTGGGTGCTGGGAACTGACCCAGGTCCTCTGCAAGAGCAGCCAGTGCTCTTAACTACTGAGCCATCATTCCAGCCCCTCTATTGTAGTCCTTATACCTGGAGCATACTTGCCGTTAGTGAAATAAACTAGACCATAACAGTGATAAAGGCTATGGAAGAAGTATAAAGAGCAGTGATGAAACAGTTATTTAATGGTGTTCGAGTTAGGAAAGGTATCCTTGTCGAGGTAACTGAATTTACACCTTAATTAGGAGATACTTCTAAGGGGACAATATGGTTCAGAGGCAACACATGGTTCCACTGGTTAAAGTATAGCAAGCAAAGGAGAGAGTGGTATGAGAGGCTCCGTGTTACAAAGCCCTGAGCTTGATCCCCTGCATGGGCTAAATCAGGCATGGTGATGAATACCTGTAGTCGCAGCACTAGGGAGCTGGAGGCAGAAGGATGCAAATTCAAGATCCTAGATACATGAGATACATGATACGTGAGTCCTTGTCTTTTTTTTAAAGGTCACGTTGGCTTCCCTGTCTGTAATAAAGAACAAGAATAAAAGGGAGACAGATTAGAAAAACATGGTAGTAGTCTTAGGTGGACGTGATAGTGGCTTGGATTAATTAGGATGATGGCAGTATAGGTTGGAAAAGAAAAGATTGAAGATGGTTTGGTATATAGTTTACAAGGTTTATTGATAGTCTGTGTAAGATCAGAGTAGGAGAGGAATCCAGGACCACTCTTGGAGGTTTTGGTGTCAGGTGCTGTGAACAAATGCCATTTATTGAGATTGAATGTACTGAGAAGGAGAAGTGTCTGACATCTTTGTTTTAAAATATGTTTTACTATTAAATGAAATTCTAATTCCATGTTCTTTCATGACTTCTCTAGGGAAGAGGATGCTTAGTGGCTACTATCTATTGTATCTTTACTCTGTGTGTGTGTGTGTGAGTGTGTGTGTGTGTGTTTGTTACGCTAAAATTATATGGTATTTGTTAAGTCCTAATATATTGAATTTTTACTTTTCTTTCCCATCTTTGACTGTTTCTTTCACATCTGCTCATATACTGGTGTCTCTTCTCTTTTCCACTTGTAATAATTTGGGCAGGTTTCTCTGTTCCTTCAGTCAGCATATGTTAAAAACAAGCACCTGCTATGTGTAAGCATTATACAGAGATACATTGGTGCTTTCTCCATGTACTATGTAATAAAGAGAATCTATAATCAAATAATCACGCCTGTAAAATTAAAACTATCATGTACAATAAGTGAAAGTTATTTATAATAAAAATTTGATCCATCAGGTGGTTTAAAGGATGAATAGGAAAAGGGGAGGTGGGAAACAGTTTTCCAGGTAGAGGCAGTAAAAATAGAAGGAATGTGGCGTGTTTGAGGGAAGGTAATCAGGGCAGTATAGTGCCAACAGGAATGGTCGAAGATTAGGCTGAGGATGGCATCATCAGATATGCTTCAGGAAAGATCTTTGACTCCCATGTGGGAATACTTTACAGGGATGAAAGATTGCTAGAGGAAACCCTTGGGAGATGATTGCTGTATTTGAGAACGGTGATGGTAGCTAGCTTGTTTTCTTGTCTTTTCTTTTGATACTGTCCCCTGTGGGAACTCTGAGCAAATCTTTTTCTCATATTTTTTTCTTTTAGGTACTCACATCTAGTTTTATTCCTCTGCCTTTTTTCTTCCCTTTGACTAGCTTTCCCTAGTATTTTCTCCCATTTTGTGTGTGTATGCATAGTGTGAATGTGTGCACACCTGAGCACCCATGTTTAAGTCTTTGTGTGTGTGTGTGTGTGTGTGTGTGTGTGTTCCTGTGTGTATTTTGGGGTATACACTTGGCACAGTGCTCACGTGGTCAGAGGACAACCTTGGGTGTTAGTCCTTGCCTTCTAGCATGTTTGAGACAAGGTCTCCTCTTTGTTTGCTACTGTATAAACCAGGCTAGTTAGCCTGTAGGCTCCCTGGGATTCTCATTTCTCTGCTCCCATCTCACTGGAGAAGCACTGGCATTATAGCACCTGGCTTTTGGTGGTTTTAGGGCTTAGAACAGGTTCTCCTGTTGGTGTGTGCTTCACCCACAGAGCCATCTCCCCAGCCCTCCACCTTTTTTTTTCTCTTTTTCTTTTTTTGAGATAGGGTCTCACTGTATAATCGTGACTGGCCTGGAACACGATATGTAGACCAGACTGGCCTTGAACTCATAGAGATCTGCTTGCTTCTATCTCCAAAGTGCTGGGAGAAAGCATGTGCCACCATACTCAGCTGTGCACTTTATTTTTTGATACAGAATCTCTCACTGAACCTGGAATTTATGAATTCAGCTAGCCTACCTGGCCAGGCAGTCCCCTCTAGGACTTTCTTGTCTCTTTCCTCCAGTCATGAGATACAGGCATACACTGTTGCACCCAGCTTGTTGTTGGTATTAGTTTCTGATTTAATTTATTTGTAATCAAAAAAGATCATCTACGTAATTTGTTTTAAAAAATTTATTAAGCTGGGCGTGGTGGCGCACACCTTTAAT